TTGTCATGAGGTGATGGATATTGTTTTGCTAGATGATAATAGTTAGAAGTTAAGCTTAAACAGCTTTTGATGTTATAGGGTATCCATACTTGGATATGCCTCAAATTTTGCTCATACGATGTACATAAACTTGGTTACTATCTATATATTTACATTTCCCCAAAAAAAAAATTGAAACCAGCGCCTGAAGACAAGTTCTAGAACTCGGAAAGATCTTTCCAACGAGATATTAAACGCTTTCAGCGGCACAAAATAGAGCAAGATATGATCGCATCAAATTCTACACGAGTTCGGAGTGAAATCTGAAACATTTGTGAATATATGGTTAATCTGTAACTTTTATTTAATTCATTGTAAATGAAGTCGGAACAATAGCTTTAGATCTCCGATCTATCTTTCCAACTAGATATAATACGATCCAATCAGGTAAACACACAGCAAGATATGAGTGTCACAAATACTTAGCCTTATCTCTATGATTTAGCGTTTTCAGCAAAAATAGAGAACTTTTAGCGTAAATACAGTGTATTTTAGTAATTAGGCAATCATCCCTTGACATTTTGAAACCAGCGCCTGAAGACAAGTTTTAGAACTCGGTAAGATCTTTCCAACGATATATTAAACGCTTTCAACGGCACAAAATAGAGCAAGATATGATTGCATCAAATTCTACACGAGTTCGGAGTGAAATCAGAAACATTTGTGAATATATGGTTAATCTGTAACTTTTAATTAATGAATTTGGAACAATAGCTTTAGAGCCCCGATCTATCTTTCCAACGAGATATAATACGCCCAAAATGGATAAACACACAGCAAGATATGATTGTCACAAATACTTAGCCTTATCTCTATGATTTAGCGTATTCAGCGAAAATAGAGCACTTTTAGCGTAAATACAATGTATTTTAGTAATTAGGCAATCATCCATTGATATTTTGAAACCAGCGCCTGAGAGAGCGCCTGAGTGAAAAAAGGTTGAGAGAGTCTCTCTCCTGGGTTCATCGGCGACCCAGCTCCTTCGTCCGTACTTTCATGGCGCCTTCAGATTCGTTGGATTTCTGAACTTCTAGGTTTGGTTCTTGGCTGGTTGCTACTTCGTCTGGCTTTCTATGCGTTTTTGGGACGAAGAACGATGGCCAAAACAGGTTTTACGAGTTTAATCGCGTAACCACTGTTCATGCGATTTATGTGCGTTTTATTTTGGATTCAGCTGAAAATCACTCCTATCTGCTGTTCACGAGTTCGGTTCGACTTTTGTTTTTGATTTCCGTATCTGTTTTTGATAACAAGGGCGGTTGAAATTGTGTATTTCGAGCTCGGGGTATATCTCCGATTTGGGGCTTTTCGCGTACCTGTATTTCGACTTTCCGTACCTGTGTTTGATAACAACGGCTTTTCTCTGTGTTTCTTGCTGTAAATAACGACGATGGCTGGTAATAAGAAACAGGGGAAGGGTGTGCAAAACTCTTCCATAAATACCAGGTCCAAGGCAGCAGTAGGATTCAATGTGTTGGAAGGTCTTGATGAGAATTTCCCTTCCCTACTTGCTGGAAATTCTGGAACAAAGCTCTCTGGAAAATCTGCAGCAGTGCAGGCTGCTGCTATAGCTGGGGAGACTACCCCTATCCAGAGAAAGGCTACTGCAACATGTGATTCTGCAATCGTTAATGGGAAGCCTCCAACAGCTGGGAACCCAATTGCTATTCCTGAGGTTGTAACTTCTGTTACCAAAGCACCTACTGCTGCTAAAACAGTTTCACCCGCTGCAGGAAGTGAAATAACTGCCGGCAAGTCAACTGCCATTCCAGTGCATCCTGCGCAAGATACTGGAGGAGTAAAACTGGCTCCGGTGCCACGGACAGAAACTGAATTACAGTGGAAAGCATTGTTTAAGGATAATCGCGATCCGAGTCAAGGTTTTAAACTAAGATATATCCCTCCTAAAGGTGAGACTTTGGATTTTGGGAATCAAGTTCTACCGACAATGGTTGAAATGTGGGGCTTTTGCCTAGTTGGACACTTTTCTAGGAACTTCCCCGGACTCAAAGCGGTTCATGATCTTAAAGCAAAATGGGGCGTCAAATGCCTTCTCAGGTCCCACAAAAAGGGGTGGCTTATTTTTAAATTTCAAAGTGGAGAGGATAGAACAAAGGTTCTACTTGGAGGAACGTACACCGTTTTTGGAAAACTACTAATGCTCAAGGAACTCTCAGAAAATTTTTCGTTTGATGAGGAAGAATTTTTAAAAGTACCAATTTGGGTTAAGTTTCATGATTTACCTATGCAACTATGGAATGATGAGACCATGAGTGAGGTAGCTTCCATGGTTGGGGTCCCAATAGCTACGGATAAAATCACCAAAGAGAGGATCAACAATGACTATGTTATTGTGTTGCTAGAGGTTGACATCTCGAAGCCGCCGCCACTCTCGTTTCCTATACGTTTACCTTCCCAAAAGGTATTCAAGCAAAGTGTGGTTTATGAGACTTTTCCTAGTTATTGTTTTCATTGCAAAGAATATGGGCACCACCCATTTATTTGTAAGATGTTATGTGGGGTTGGGGCGAACAAGGAAACGGAAAAAATTGATATTTTAGGTGATAAATCTGTTGGAATTGGACCTGTTATTTCTCGGCCAGAACCTTTGGGGCTAAACCCGACCGAGTTGCACCTTAAACCGACCGGGCTGCACCTTAAACCGACCGGGTCACAGGCAGATGTTACTGCCAAAGGCTCAAACCCGTCCGGGTTTGCCCTAAACCCGACCGGGTTAAAAGGGCAGACTGCCCAGGGGCCCGAACTACCTACTGTGAAAGGAAGAAAGACAATTGGCCAACTGTTTGGTGTGCAAACTGACCATGAGTTTTCCGAGGATGAAGACGACGATGTCTTTTTAGAAGAAAATGAAAGACTAGTTACGAGTGAGACTGAATTGCACCAAAACGATGTAGTAACCAAATGGGAGGTGGTCAAGGGAAAGAAGCTCAGGTTGTTTGTTAAACCATTTAAATTTGTGCATGCCAATGTGATTAGAGTGGATACCTCTCTTAGACTTACGGATGACTTGGACAATAAAGGCCTAACTTTCACCGCCAAATGTCCTGAGAGGCTACCGGGAGTTACTAAGAAGAGAGGGGAGCTTTGTTTTGACTCAAAGTTTACGGCTCCTTTCCGACTTTTCTTTGGTTCTTAAGTTAGGGATACCTATCTTCTGAGCTGGTTCTTGTGGACTGTTATTGTTCCTAATATTGTTTCGGGTCAGGTTGTTTGATTTGTGAGAATGTATGCTTTGTTTTTGTGGTATCCCGTGATCTGGGATATGCACCTTGCTTGTACTCGTGATGCATTGTACTATGCTATTTTTCTGGATATATATACTTACATTTTATCCAAAAAATTGAAACCAGCACTTGAAGACAAGTTTTAGAACTCGGTAAGATCTTTCCATCGAGATAGTAAACACTTTCAATGGCACAAAATAGAGCCAGATATGATCGCATCAAATTCTACACGAGTTCGGAGTGAATTCAGAAACATTTGTGAATATATGGTTAATCTGTAACTTTTAATTAATGCATTGTAAATGAAGTTGGAACAATTGCTTTAGAGCTCCGATCTATCTTCCCAACGAGATAAAATACGCTCCAAACGGATAAACACACAGCAAGATATGAGTATCACAGATACTTAGCCTTATCTCTATGATTTAGCGTTTTCAGCAAAAATAGAGCACTTTTAGCGTAAATACAGTGTATTTTAGTAATGAGGCAATCATCCCTTGATATTTGGAAACCAGCGCCTGAAGACAAGTTTTAGAACTCGGTAAGATCTTTCCAACGAGATAATAAACGCTTTCAACGGCACAATAGAGCAAGATATGATCGCATTAAATTCTACACGAGTTCGGAATGAAATCAGAAACATTTGTGAATATATCGTTAATCTGTAAATTTTAATTAATGCATTGTAAATGATGTTGGAACAAAAGCTTTAGGTTGTTTTTACTTGGACTGTAGTTGTTCCCAGACAAGATTACACCAGACCAGACCAGACTAAAATAAACCAGACCATATTTTATTATTATTATTATTATTATTATTATTATTATTATTATTATTATTATTATTATTATTATTATTATTATTATTATTATTACCATTATTATTATTATTATTATTATTATTATTATTATTATTATTATTATTATTATTAATATTATGATGATTATGATTATAATTGATATTATTATTATTATTATTATTATTATTATTATTATTATTATTATTATTATTATTATTATTATTATTATTATTATTATTATTATTATTAGCTCCGATCTATCTCTCCAACGAGATATAATACGCTCCAAACGATTAAACACACATCAAGATATGAGTGTCACAAATACTTAGCCTTATCTCTATGATTTAGCGTTTTCAGCGAAAATAGAGCACTGTTAGCGTAAATACAGTGTATTTTAGTAATTAGGAAATCATCCCTTGATATTTTGAAACCAGCGCCTAAAGACATGTTTTAGAACTCGGTAAGATCTTTCCAATGAGATATTAAATGCTTTGAACGGCACAAAATAGACCAAGATATGATCACATCAAATTCTACACGAGTTCGGAGTGAAATCAGAAACATTTGTGAATATCTGGTTAATCTGTAACTTTTAATTAATGCATTGTAAATGAAGCTGGAACAATAGCTTTAGAGCTCCGATCTATCTTTCCAACGAGATCTAATACGCTCCAAACGGATAAACCCACAACAAGATATGAGTGTCACAAATACTTAGCCTAATCTCTATGATTTAGTGTTTTCAGCGAAAAATGAGCACTTTTAGCGTAAATACAGTGTATTTTAGTAATTAGGCAGTCATCCCTTGATATTTTGAAACTAGCGCCTGAAAAAAGAAAGTATCGAGAGAGTCTCTCTCCTGGCGACATTTGCGTCCCAGTTTCTTCTCTTCCGTACAGGTGCTGCGAACGAATCGATGGCTTACCGATGTGTTTTGAGCTGCGATTCTTGGTGTTTTTAGGTCGACTTTCACCTCTGAGCTCACTTCCGCAGCTGGATTTGAAATTCGTATCATGGTTTAAGGCCTTTTGCTCGGATTCGAACTGAACTTTCACTGTTCATAAACGATGAAGAGCGATTCGGTCGTCGTCTTGCTGCTACGATTTTTAGATTTTTGTTCGATTATCAGTAACGTTTGAGCGATTCTGGTTTCTGAAATCTATTTGTGTTTCGGCGTATCAAGAAGAGGCCCTGCGACGAAGTCTAAAATTCGTATTTTGAGCTCTTTCCGATCCAAATTTTGAATTCTGTACTTGTATTTGATATCAACTGTGTTAGCAATTTGTTATTTGTGCTCTGATTTTCAACTGCGATTTGGGGCGTGCTCTTTGTGATTTGGGGCTTTTTTTCGATTTCTGAGGTGCTTGGAAACGAGGACGATGGCTGGGGATCGTTCCAGCTCCAAAAAACAGGGGAAGGGTGTGCAAACCCCTTCCATAAGTACCAGGTCCAGGGCAGCAGCAGGATTTAATGTCTTGGAAGGGCTGGATGAGAATTTCCCTACCCTTACTGTTGGAAATTCTGGGACGAAGCTTTCTGGGAAAACTGCAGCTTTGCAGGTTGCTGCTATTGATGGGGGGACTGCCCCGGCCCAGGGCATTAATGGGAAAAGTGCAGCACTGCAAGTTGCTGCTATTGATGGGGCGACTACCTCGGTCCAGGACATTAATGGGAAACCTCTACCTGCTGGGAATCCTTCTGCTACTACTGAGGTTTTAACTGATTTTACTAAGCCTAGGGTCTTTGAGCTGGTCTCACCTGCTGCTGGGACAGTTCCACCTGCTGCAGGGAGTGAGAAGAAGACACCTCCCGGGAAGTCAAGTGCTCCAATGCCTCCTGCGCAGGCTACTGTGGGAGTAATAATTGAGAAACTGCCCCCGATGCCACGGGCAGAACCTGAATCCTTAAAGTGGAAGGCTTTGTTTAAAGATAATCGTGATCCAAGCCACGGGTTTAAACTAAGATATATCCCTCCTATTGGTGAGTCTTTAGATTTTGGGGATCGGGTCTTACCGACTATGGTTGAAATGTGGGGGTTTTGCCTTGTTGGACATTTCACCGGGAATTTTCCCGGACTCAAAGCAGTTCATGACCTTAAAGCAAAATGGGGTGTCAAGTGCCTTGTGAGGTCCCACAAAAAAGGTTGGATGATTTTTAAATTTCAAAGTGGAGAGGATAGATCTAAGGTTCTACTTGGAGGACCATACACCGTGTTTGGGAAGCTTCTCATGCTCAAGGAACTTTCGGAAAATTTTTCGTTTGAGAACGAAGAATTTTTAAAAGTACCAATTTGGGTTAAGTTCCATGATTTACCTATGCAACTATGGAATGAGGAGGCCATGAGTGAGGTAGCTTCCATGGTTGGGGTCCCAATAGCTACGGATAAAATCACCAAAGAGAGGATCAACAATGACTATGCTAGAGTTTTGATAGAGGTTGACATCTCGAAGCCGCCACCACTCTCATTTTCTATACGGTTACCTTCCCAAAAGGTATTCAAACAAAGTGTAGTTTATGAAACTTTTCCTAGCTATTGTTTTCACTGCAAAGAATATGGGCACCACCCATTTATTTGTAAGAAGTTATGTGGGGTTGGGGAAAAAAAGGAACTCGTTGTTGTTGGAGAAAATGACGAAGTTGGACTTACTTCTGTCCGGGCAGAATCTGCCCAGGAGCTTCACCCGACCGGGCCTAAGCCTAGCCCGACCGGGTCCAGGGGAAAAACAGCTGCCAAGGGGCCACACCCGACCGGGTCAACCCCAAACCCGACCGGGTTACTTGGACAAACTGCCCACGAGCCTGAACTGCCTGCTGTGAAAAGGAGATTGACTATTGGCCAACTTATGGGTGTGAAAACAGTCCATGAGTCCTCCGAGGATGAAGAAGACGACGTATTTTTGGAAGAAAATGAAAGACTAGTAACAAGGGAGACCGACTTGCACCAAAATGATGTAGTTATCAAATGTGAAGTGGTAAATGGAAAGAAGCTCAGGCTGTTTGTTAAGCCCTTTAAATTTGTGCACACTAATGTGATTAGAGTGGATACCTCCCTTCGACTTACGGATGACTTGGACAAAAAAGGCCTAACTTTCACCGCCAAATGTCTTGAGAGGTTACCGGGAGTTACTAAGAAGAAAGGGGAGATTTGCTTTGACTCAAAGTTTACTACTCCTTTCCGACTTTTCTTTGGATGATTTTTTAGGGACACCTTTTACTTTGTCGGAGCTGGTTTTGTAGGTTTGTTTTTTTTTTTTTTTTGTTTGGCTTCATGATGTTTGATTTGTGAGAATGTTTCCTTGAGTTTGTGGTACCCCGTGATTTGGGATATGCACTTTGAGTGTACTCGTGATGCATTGTACTATGCTATTTTTCTGGATATATATACTTACATTTTATCCAAAAAAAAAAAATTGAAACTAGCGCCTGAAGACAAGTTTTAGAACTCGGTAAGATGTTTCCAACGAGATATTAAACGCTTTCAACGGCACAAAATAGAGCAAGATATGATCGCATCAAATTCTACACGAGTTCGGAGTGAAATCAGAAACATTTGTGAACATAAGGTTAATCTGTAACTTTTAAATAATGCATTGTAAATGAAGTTGGAAAAATAGCTTTAGAGCTCCGATCTATCTTTCCAACGAGATATAATACGCTCCAAACGTATAAACACACAGCAAGATATGAGTGTCACAAATACTTAGCCTTATCTCTATGATTTAGCGTTTTCAGCGAAAATAGAGCACGTTTTGCGTAAATACAGTGTATTTTAGTAATTAGGCAATCATCCTTTGATATCTTGAAACCATCGCCTGATTTGGTGCTTTTTTAAACCAGCGCCTGATTTGGTGCTTTTTTCAAAAGGGGATGATTTGGTGCTTTTTTGAAACCAGCGCCTAATTAGGACATTGGATCCCAATTTTAAACATCATCCTCTATGCTCTCAACTAAAGATATCACATCTAGCATATGCGGATGATTTGGTTCTTTTTCAAAAGGGGATTGTAAATCCATAAAGATTTTGGCCGAAACTTTGAAGGATTTTTGTATGGTATCCGGACTTATGGTAAATCATGATAAATCTAACATTTTCTTGGGGGCTAATGTTGCAAACGCATTACCCCAAATACTAGAATTGGTGGATTTTCAACAAGGCTCTTTCCCGGTTAGATATTTAGGCATTCCGTTGGCACCTCTTAAGATCTCTGTGGCTCAATTTTCTCCATTAATTGACACGGTGACAGATTATATTAATGCTTGGAATACTAAATCTCTTTCTTATGCAGGAAAACTTGAGTTGATAAAGTCAGTTTTGCAGGGTGTTCAATCGTTTTGGCTTGGTATCTTTCCGGTACCAAAAACTATTCTTGATAGGATTTTGGGATTATGCAGTGTCTTTCTTTGGGGGGGAAAATACTCTAAGGTTGCTTGGGATGATGTATGTCTCCCAAAGGAAGAGGGATGACTTGGCATTAGAGATGCTAAGATTTGGAATCATGCCCTCCTCTCTCGGATTTTGTGAAATATACATTGTAAACAAGATACCCTTTGGGTTAGGTGGGTTCATGGTGTATATCTTCATGGGAGAGATGTGTGGACGTTTGTGCCACACAATAGGGACTCCCAATTGATGAAAAGGCTAGCCTTGATCCGAGACTCTATTGTCTCAAAATTTCAAACAATTGACATGGCGTTAGCTTTTCTCAATAAGAGCTCCCAAAATGGGAAATTAGACACGAGTAAGGTGTATGACCTCCTAAGAACTAAAGCTGCACCTAGGTCTTGGATGTCATTCATATGGAAGCCGTATATTTCACCAAAGTTCTCTTTCATAAATGTGGCTTGCCTTAAGGAATAGGCTTCCCACTTATGATAATTTAAGATTCCTTGATGTGATTAACGAATGCCCCTTTTGTAAGGGTGAACCGGAGACGGTTTCACACCTATTTTTTGATTGTAAGTTTGTAGGGCAGGTTTGGAGAAGGATAAAGCATTGGCTTGGAATTACAAGGGAGATGTCCACCTTAAGAAGTGCTCTGAAGTGGATCAAAGAGGAACACAATGGAGCAAACATTAAGGCAAAAGCAATAAGAATAGCACTATGCTACATGGTCTACTGGACTTGGAGGATAAGAAATGCAATTAGGTTTGAGGATGCAACTGCTAGGGTGGAAGACATGGTCTCGCAGATCATGTATATGGTGTACAAAATTTTATATCTCTTATACCCGGTCCATATGATTACTTTTTGAAACTTTGGGCTGTTTAGCACCCATTTTTTTTGTCATAGCTAATGGCGGTTTTTGGGGTGGTTAGCTAGTCCTCATGGCTAGCTACCAATGGCTGTATTTTTGGGGGATAGATAGAATCTTTGGCTATCTATCTAAAACTGTGGTTTTTGTGTGGGCAGCCTATATGTTGGACTGCCATGGGGTTTTTGTAATTTGTACAGTATGTACATAAACTTTCTTGGATATATATATTTACATTTTATCCAAAAAAAATTGAAACCAGCGCCTGAAGACACGTTTTACAACTCGGTATGATCTTTCCAGCGAGATATTAAACGCTTTCAACGGCATTAAATAGAGCAAGATATGATCGCATCAAGATATGATTTAGCGTTTTCAGCAAAAATAGAGCACTTTTAACGTAAATAAAGTGTATTTTAGTAATTAGGCAATCATCCCTTGATATTTTGAAACCAGCGCCTGAAGACAATTTTTACAACTCCCTAAGATCTTTGCAACGAGATATTAAACGTATTCAACGGCACAAAATAGAGCAAGATATGATCGCATCAAATTCTACACGATTTCGGAGTGAAATCAGAAACATTTGTGAATATATGGTTAATCTCTTACTTTTAACTAATGCATTGTAAATGAAGTTGGAGCAATAGCTTTAGAGATCTGATCTATCTTTCCAACGAGATATAATACGCTCCAAGCGGATAAACACACAGCAAGATATGAGTGTCACAAATACTTAGCCTTATCTCTTTGATTTAGCGTTTTCAGCGAAAATAGAGCACTTTTAGCGTAAATACAGTGTATTTTAGTAATTAGGCAATCCTACCTTGATGTTTTGAAACCAGCGCCTGAAGACAAGTTTTCGAACTCGGTAAGATCATTCCAACGAGATATTAAACGTTTTCAACGGCACAAATTAGAGCAAGATATGATCGCATAAAATTCTACACGAGTTCGGAGTGAAATCAGAAACATTTGTGAATATATCGTTAATCTGTAACTTTTAATTAATGCATTGTTAATGAAGTTGGAACAACAGCTTTAGAGCTCCAAACTATCTTTCCAACAATATATAACACGCTCCAAACGGATAAACACACAGCAAGATATGAGTGTCACAAATACTTAGCCTTATCTCTATGATTTAGCGTTTTCAGCGAAAATAGAGCACTTTTAGCGTAAATACAGTGTATTTTAGTAATCAGGCAATCATCCCTTGATATTTTGAAACCAGCGCCTGAGTCCTGAATCCGTTGAGAGAGTCTCTCTCTAGCGAAAATTCGCTACTCGGATTTCCAGCTCGTTTCTTCACCGTTTTCTTCACTTCTTCCTTCGATTCTTCGTCTTTGAGCTTGGTTATTGGTTTCTTTACACTTCTACGTTGTTTGAGGTGTTCACTACCCAGTTTCCGAGCTCGTTTTGGAGGTTTTTGGCCTGGTTTCGCATTCTTAGCTTTCGGAGTTACTATTCACCAAAGAAGGTCAACGCCTCTACAGCCTGATTCCTTGGGTGTTTTTGCAATCCGACTTCAGTTCTTGCTTCTCCAAGCTCTGGTGATTAACTTTCTCCAAGAAAATTCATCATCGGACCTGGTTCTATTTTCGTCCGTAC